CACTAATTTTACCGAGCTCACTAAATTTATTAAATTTACTAATTTTACTAAGTGTACTAATTTTAGGAAATTTATTAATTTTACTGCATTCACTAATTTTACTAAATTTACTAAGTTTACTGGATTTACTAATTTTACTGAATTCACTAATTTTCCTAAATTTACTAATTTTTTATTGAATTCATAAATTTTACTAAATTTACTAATTTTACTGAATTCACTAATTTTACTAAGTGTACTAATTTTAGGAAATTCACTAATTTTACCGANTTTGACTACACCTACTAATTTCACTGAATTCATTAATCTTACTAAATTTACTAATTATGCTGAATTCATTAATTTCACTCATTTATAATCTATAACAAACTGCTAAAAATCGAAGTGTTCAATTTTGCGTGCAAAAGGGAGACGAAAAGTCGAGATGGAACAGAAATCTTTAAATTCGGTACAATCGTCTAGCTACTATTATTATTATTATCATTATTGTTATGATGAATTTCTGTAGAAAAATTAAAAGGACATTTGGCCCGATGATGCTAAATAAATAAATAAATAAATAAATAAATTGATATGATAGTCGATTAGGGCAGAGGATTAAAACTGGAAAATAATCGTCGAGATTTATGATCTCTCACGGAGCTGTTAAGGGAAGCCATCGATCGAATCCGGCGAATCGTTCGCGACGGAACGGAAGAAAGGAAAGGGCCGAACGGGCATTAACAAAACGAAACTCCGTTTCCGTGAATTCCGTTCGCGTGATGGTCGCGCGATCGAGAGCTGGATCGCGTTAACCTGGTTAGCAGCCGCTTGATGCGGGCAAGGTATTAGAGTGTGGAGACCGGAATGGGACGACCGCGGGCATCTTTCCGTTGGAAGCAGAACGGAACCGAGCGCCGATCCGGCTTAGCGATCTCTCAAAATGCATCCACGAGCATGTGAGCCGCGTACGTGCCCGCCGTGCGCGATTCTTTGCGTCTGCTGCGCCTGCGAACAATTATCCCCGGTGTCCAGGAAAAAATATTACCGAGAGACCGTGGAGCTTCCTGTCAATCCGTATTGTCGCGGGTTGCTTTACAGAATATACATTAAGCAGCACGATTTAATTGTTCGCCGGAAGATCCCTTTCGAGTCTGTAGAAATTATCGATTTTTGCTGGATGCGCGAAGATCCGCGATTTAATAGAACATTATGAATTTTGCAAAAATCCACTTTTTAAGAAGCATTTAATATTTGCAAAATCGACGATAAGATTTTGACAATGATGTGTTTGTAACAAGGATTTTTAGGATCTCGTAGAGGTTTCTTTTTTTAACCCTTTGCACTCGAAGCCATTCTAACTGTAAATCTAAATGAACTTTTCCGACTTATAGTATTTGCATTTTAAGTGCATTTCATGCATATGAAATTGAGTCTTGCGACTCATACGACAGTTAGACTTTTAACAATATTTTTATATCAAAGCTTTGATAATATAAACGTTATCTTGGAACGTGATGTAACGATTTTAGTGGTGCTTCAGAGTCACCACTCGAGTGCAAAGGGTTAATATACCACGAAATTGGAGTGAATTGAAGTAAAATTTAAAATATTATCGATACCATTTTAAAATTAAAAAGGTATCGATACTTCTTTCGTATCTATACTTCTCACACACAATAGTGTGTGTGTGGGTGTTAAGTTGCGTCACCGAATTTTGCGATTGTGTGCGAATCGGCGAGAGTTAATCGATTCTGAAACTCTCCGGGGCTTGTATAGGGAGTCTTGGAACAAGAGGATTCGCAGAAATAGCAATCAGAGACTCTGTTCGGCATCGATGTTCCTCGAGATGTTCGATTGGAAAAGGAATTATGCAATCGTAATACTCTAAGCGACTCGCGTAACTTCATCGTCGAGAATTCGCTGCTGAAAACGAACAAATTACACACCGATTCAATTAATCAGTCGTTAATTGATTGCGGATCTTCTTATGGTTATTCAATTTCAACGCGTTCCAACGAAAATTAACGATTCAAATTCTAGTGTCATCAGATAATATTAACAATCCGCAATCTTTTGCGAGAAACCACCGAGTTTTATGCTAATCCTTTGAATAGGATTATCTCTTTAGCCAACACCTATATTAACGACATCAAGTTGTTCATTGATGATTTTAATTAATTTTGATATCGATTGTATAATGTTATCAGAAGCTGGGATGTTTCGTTTGTATATTGCAATTTATTGTTTGCATTTTTGTTATTCTTTTATTATCATTACTGTTATTATTTTTATTATTACCATTAATATTATTAGTATTATCTTATTATCATTACTATTATTATTTTTATTATTCTCATTAATATTATTAGTATTATCTTATTATCATTACTATTATATATATATTATTTTTATTATTGACATTAATATTATTAGTATTATCTGATTATCATCACTATTATTATTTTTTATTGTCATTAATATTATTAATATTATCTTATTATCATTACTATTATTATTTTTTATTGTCATTAATATGATTAGTATCATTTTATTATCATTACTACTTTTATTATTATTATCATTACGATGAATTTCTGTGGAAAAATTAAAAGGACATTTGGCCCGATGATGCTAAATAAATAAATTACTATTGCTTGAAACCTTGCTTTAAAGGATCTGAACTGTCACAAGACCTCGCAGCCAGCCCGCAAAGACAGAAACAAACGGCGCACCCGTGACAAGGCATTCCGACGTTAATTTCTGCTCGCCGGGGCTTTGTCATCGCGAGAATTATCCGAATTACGGTCGACCGTGTATTTCTGGTCGTAAATTTGCGAATTACCATGTCACCGGCTCCCTGACCCGCCGAAATGAAGTGGACTCGGAACCAGCGTGTGCGGTCCAACGACGTTTTACGAGACCTGTAAAAGTCGGGGAGCCAGTGGAACGAGCAATCGTTCAGCATCCGCTGGGACGGCGACAAGCGAAGAACCTCGCTATTCCCGTCTTTAACGTCGCGCCCGTTCAGACGAGAACAGAGAAATTGAACGTCGGTGGTATTGGTGGGCCGACGAAAATCCAATCGCGTCGAGACGAACGAGAACAGTCGAGCTTTCGGGTTCTCCTCGCTCCTCGAATGACGCTGCTCGAAGCCCGGGGAACCGCGGGCTTTTCTTCGGGATGCGCGGGGAGGGCGGAGAGGATATTTGTTCCCCGCTCGAATTACGCTTTTCGAGAGACTTTTAGCCGGCTCGATCGGCGACGGGAAGGAGGATGAAAGGAGTTTACACTCTAGGCTACAAGACCGTTGCAACGAACGCCTCTGTTAAAAAAGAGAAACCGCATCGGATTAGTCCGACCTGCTCGTTTCGATATCGAAAAGTAGCCCGAGCACGCGTCTCGATGGATGGCTCTCCGGTGCTCGAAACGCGGCACCACGACCGTGATAAGCCCGCGTTATCGTTATCGCCGCTTCCGCGTACTTTCATCCCCGGTCGGGGGCGGGTATCGATTTGATAAGGACATTGTTTGATCGCCGAATAAAATCGACCGCGGAAATGGCTTCGTAAAGTTTAATGGTCCATCAACTGTCTCCGGAGCTCGGTAGAATGTCTGTATCTAGATGGCACAGCTTTTGGACCGGAAGGTTGTTCAGACTTTGCTCGATGAACTCTGTTCAGCTTTTCTACGGACTGCATTTAGGAGCTAGTATAATCATACGAACGCAATAGACATTTTTATGAAGCATTTTTTTTAGTAAGAAGCAAGTTAAGTCGATGTACTGAGCAGAAGACGATCTCTAGAAATTATAGTAAATTCTCTCCAATTTTCCTTCAGCTTGTAAACACAACTAGATAATTTAGAAAGTGGATTATTCGAGCCCTGCGACTCATTTTTATAGTTTCCGATTGTCAACGATTATAAAAATGAGGCGCAAGGCTCGAGTAATCGTATCTCCTCTTCTCAAATTGTCCATTTTTGTTTGCAAGCTAAAGGAAAATTGGAGGGAATTTACTATAATTTCTAAAGATCGTCTTCTGCTCAGTATATCGTCTTTTTAATAAATAAAAATGTTTCATAAAAATGTCTATTGCGTTCGGATTCTCCCCGATCTCCCTTCAGCTTCTGTACAAAGCTGGACGATTCGAGAACAGGAGAAGCGATTATTCGAGTCTCGCAGCTCGTTTTTACAGTTGCCGATTGTCAACGATTAAAAAGACGAGGCGCAAGGCGAAATAATAGCATCTCTTCTTCCCAAATTATCCATTTTTGTTTGCAAGCTGGAGGAAAATCAAGGAGAATTTGCTGTGCATATTGAAACTTCGCGCAGTATTTCGACGAAATTTTTGCTACATGATCTTGCATACCCGACGACGTAGGAAGCATTTCTTTGTTACCATCGATCTTTCTATCACCGATTGCTCAAGCAGAGATCGATCTCCTTACAAACGATCGGACGAGTTGCTTCGCTTATCAGTGTCGCAAAAGGCGAGCACAATCTACGTTTGCGAAAAATCGTCCAAGTTAATATCCGTGTACCTGATGCAGCAATTAATTGTTACCGCGACACGTTCGAGCGAACCGAATTTTATCGGGACCTGACAGGACGATAAGTTTCATCTTTCCGGGTTCGGTTCCACGAACGAAATCGCCTTGATTTTCTGGGATATTCGCGTCGACGATCGAACAGCGATAAATAGACCGCGAATCTTTACGCAAATTCCCATTTTCGTACGCGATTCTCGAGAAATCAAAATTAGACGATAATCTTCCTCGTTAACTGAAAGATTCTTCGTTACAACAATCTGATAAAAGTGCTATCAGTTCTTGCTAATTTACGTTTTCTTGTATCTTACAAATCTGCATATGTCGCAAACGCATAAAGATCCGCAAATGCACAAAGATCCAACGATGAATCTCGGATCTCTAATTTCCGACGTTGAAAATTTTGAACGGTGCATCTCGCATCGACCAAATCTCGAAGCCGTAATCTGACCGGTTCCCTATCTCAATCTCAGTTCCAGAGGTCACGGTGACGTTTCATCGAGGATTACCGAAGATCACGGTCCCGCTGCCGTCAAGGAGGGAGCAATGCGTGTTTACCCTGAAGCCAATAACGCACACGGTAGGCGACCTGATCAAGATGCTGAAGAAAGAGGACCGCGGAATCGATCGGGCAACCGTCACGACGCTTGGTGAGTCGATCGACAAGAAGCTAAAAAACGAATTCCTGGAAAAACGATCTCACACGTGTTTCAATCTTCGAAAGGCGGACATTTTTGACGGAAATATAACTCAATATACTTAGGATCATTTATATAAAATTTATATAAATTTAATATAAATTAATATAATATATACATTTTATATAAATTTAATATAATATATACAATTTATATAAAGTTAATATGATATATACGATTTATATAAATTAATATAATATATAGAATTTATATAAATTTAATATAATATATACGATTTATGTAAATTAATATAATATATACAATTTATGTAAAGTTAATATAATATATACAATTTATATAAATTAATATAATATACAAATAATTACATAAATTTAATATAATTAATTTAATTTAATTTACTTTGGTATAATTTAATACAATTACCATAATTATATGAATTTATATAAAATAACAATATTTATATACAGGGTCCAAATGGACCCGAGTTTCGACATCCGAGTGTTAACGGCCCAGAACGGCGTTGCCTGATGCTTTCAGACGGCGTTAGGATAGGATCCAACAACACGATAGAGTCGTTAATGGAGGAGGACTTCCGGCTGATTATAAACGACAACGAGTACGTCGTTACGCCCCCTTTGCAGCAGAGGCACACCATGGTGAGTACCTCTGGTGTATATTAATCTGTCTGACCTGGTTTGATATTCACGGAACACGTCCAAACGGATTCGTCGGCTCGGTGTGCCACGTTTCTTCCGAAAATCGCGAAGAAGAAAATTTGATTCTGTCGAGACAAGCTACTGTCGAAGCTGTCGCGACAGCCTGCCTGGATTTATTTATTTCTGTTCTTCAGCATTATGCTTGATTTAACGTGGAAATTGATTCAAACTTTCGGAGGAACAATATAGTATAATAGCGACGATTTAATAACAAAAGGAGGAGCAAGTTTTTGTTTAATGTGCAATTTAATGATTAATTTGTAAAATTTGTATTAACCATGGAAATTTATTCGAACTTTCGCAGGAACAATAGCGACGATTTAATAACAAAAAGAGGAACAAGTTTTCGTTTTAATGTGCAATTTAAAACTGCATAAAATGCAATAAATTTAACGTGCAAATTTGTACAATTTGTATTTGATTCGTTTGTTGTTGTTTTTATATTGTCTCCCATTTCCGGATTGCAAGACATTTTTGGGACACCCCTTAGCGTTAATTACTTCGATATATCTTAAGAATAATTGACATTTCTCACTTCTTTCAATCTTCCTTACATCTGAAATCGCAAGCTCCCAATTTCCCCATAACCGCATAAAATTATTACGATTACCGCGCGAAAGACCGGTTGCCGAATTTCGCGAGGGATTTTCGCGAGGAGATCGGGCATAATACAATTGCAGTTCTAATCCGGCGTCGTCGGCGTGTTTCAGGAGAACATAGAGAAGTTATCGGACGTGCAGAAATTAATCGGACAGCTGTACGAGGCGTTCCATGTCCGAGAGCACTTCGCGGACATGGAGAAACAAGTGTTGGCCGAGTTGGAGACAGTGAGGTTGGAGTTGGAGCCGTTGGAGCAGGTAAAGTCCTACGGACCACGGACTCGGAATCTCGCTCGTTGCAATCCCATTAACGAAGAACACCTGAAATGCTGGCTGGTGGACGCCGTTCTTCAAGATAGCACTCTCGACCACGCGCGCCGCGATCACTTCCCTGATTTATCGAATGGCGAATTCCCGAACCGAGAAAAACAAGCTTCGTTTCCTGGACGTTCGATCAATCCCGTCGTGACAGCGGCCACGAGCGCGGAATGTAACGCGTTGTAACGTCAGTTATCATTTACACGTCGGCCTCCGACAAACTCGAGAACGCGGTAAACTCCGCTCGATGCGCGCGTTTTACAGATATTGCGTCGTTACCGCTGCAACGAATGCGTTCCGGGTTTACAATGTCGTCGACACTAAATTTTCTATGGCGCACTACCGATGGGAATAATGTACAATGAAATAGTTGATGCGCCGCAGCGAGCGAACGAGTCATCCTTTTTTATCGAGCTATGAAATCTCTGTTGCGACTATTGACTGAATGCGCGTTGCTCTGCATACTAATGTTGGGATAATAATTTAGAAGCTAGGGTTGATCGATTAATGATACATTTCTGAAATCTTCTGTAAAGGTGCAGATAATGGAATTTTAGAAATTTGTGAGTAATGAGTAAAGGAGGGAGAGAGAGTTCTCGCGAAAAGGGATGCATTGTACAGGGTGGAAAATGGCTCTTGTTGCAAAGTTTATAAATTAGAACATTTTTATGATTGTAGACAACGATCTTATGAAGCACTCCTTTGGCTAGCTTGCCATATAATTTAATTAGTGAAAATAATTAGTTTATATAATCTAATAATAATAATAATAATAGTTAAAAATAATGGTTTATATTTAAATAACTGACAGTTCACTCGGTATTCGAAAATATCCCAGAATAATTAACGCGAAAAGTTCCGTACAGTGCGTACGAGGTAGATCAATTATCATTTCACCAAAAATACAATAAATATCAAACGTTAATAAATGCTACGGTATACTGAACGCTTCATAGTCGTGCCATAACTGCTCTAGAACTGCGTTTCGGGGGGGATAATTACTTAGAGATGCGAATTACAGCAATTTCTCCCAGAAATGCCAAACTTCGGGTTGCTGTGAATTTCCCTGTGCTAGTCCTACGCCTATGTAACTTATTGCTATGTAATTTATTGCCTTCGAATCGTGGCAAAAAAATTAGAAATAAGAGAGTTGAGCCATAAGAAGAAGAATCGCGACTAGTATTCTAAGATCTGCCTTCAGATCTGGTTTCAGTTTCGATCTCCGAACATTTCTGGGAGAAATTACTCTACCGAGTGAGGTCCAAGAAATAATTTCCGGTAACAGGTAGAAAACGGTTTCGTCCATTTCGAGATAGGAAGCGGAATTGATACGTTCCCGACGAGCCCCCGGCATCTGCGTTCGACGGAAGCGTAAGGAGCCACGGGCACGCGATTAGCATTCCGCCGCGTTCGAGCGCGTGCGAATTATTCAACAAACCATCGTTCGTCGTTCCTTCATCGCTCGTTTTCTCCTCATTGGATGAATTCATTTTTCACGGAGTCCGTTTAATCGCCGCGCTACCATGCTGCCGCGGCTCGATAATTAACGTTGTTCCAACCCGGCTCGCGCTTGCAGCCCGATCACCAAAAACCGATTAACGTGTATCGCCGTAACACCGCGAGCCGGTCGTGTTGTTTCTAATTATATAACGTCGATCGCGCTCGTTTCTTTTTCATTCGCATTCCTCGGCATCCTTTCCCTTCGATGCCGTCGATTCTTCACCGCGAACCCATCTTTCCGCGGATCGTGTTCTTTCGTATTCTTTCCGATCGAATGTCGCCCTTTCGCGGATCCAATTGGCCTCTTCTGCGAATCAAGTTTCCCTACGAGTTCGTTTCTTCGAACGATCATCATAAATGCATCGCGGATCTTGTTGGGTAAATTTGATAAATTTTTAAAATTTCGTTGGGTAATTGTACAAAACAAGAATTGAATAATAATGTATTTCTTCTTTTAATATTCTTAATTGATTGAAAATGATGTAACAGTACTCTGAAATTCTTTTAATGCTTCTATTATTCCGTATTTCTATTGTCAACTTTTGCAATAAATACATAAAATCCGTGTCCCATAAAAATCGAATGAAACGTAAATAAAATAAATGTAGAAGATGATTCTAGAATGGTTTATATAATAAGCCTGATTTCATTGGAAACATACTGAGCCATTTTACTAATAAATTCAGTAAAGTTTTAAATTAAATTACAATTTCATATAATAAACCTGATTTCATTGAGTAATTGTACAAAACAAGTATTGAATAACAATGTATTTCTTCTTTTAATGACCTTAATTGATTGAAAATGATGTAACAGAGTACTCTTAAATTCTGTTAATGATTCTATTATTCCGTATTTCTCTTATTAATTTTTGCAATATATGCATAAAATCCGTGTCCCATAAAAATCGAATGAAACGTAAATAAAATAAATGTAGAAGATGATTCTAGAATGGTTCATATAATAAGCCTGATTTCATTGGAAACATACTGAGCCATTTTACTAATAAATTTAGTAAAGTTTTAAATTAAATTACAATTTCATATAATAAACCTGATTTCATTGGAAACATTCTGTGCCATTTTACTAATTCCATTGTATTTATATTAAAATCTTGTTCTCTGTAACGTTTACTTTNTTGAGTAATTGTACAAAACAAGTATTGAATAACAATGTATTTCTTCTTTTAATAACCTTAATTGATTGAAAATGATGTAACAGAGTACTCTGAAATTCTTTTAATGTTTCTATTATTCCATATTTCTCTTGTCAAGTTTTGCAATAAATGCATAAAATCCGTGTCCCATAAAAATCGAATGGAACGTAAATAAAATAAATGTAGAAGATGATTCTAGAATGGTTTATATAATAAGCCTGATTTCATTGGAAACATACTGAGCCATTTTACTAATAAATTTAGTAAAGTTTTAAATTAAATTACAATTTCATATAATAAACCTGATTTCATTGGAAACATTCTGTGCCATTTTACTAATTCCATTGTATTTATATTAAAATCTTGTTCTCTGTAACGTTTACTTTGTTCCTTTAAAAGCGTCTAGCAGCCCATAAATAAATAATAATAAAAAAAAGTAATAAGAATAATATTAGAATTATATTAATAATAATAATAATAATTTTGGTTGTTTTTAAGCTGTCTAAGTGTCTCCGCCGTTTCATGGTTCGCCCACTAATTTCAACACGAATGCACACAATCCCAAAAATGGTAAACGATGGCTGCATTAGCAACGATTTCTTTAAAATACATACCGAGATAAAAATAAAATAAAATATTGAATTCGAAGAGTATTATTTCCTACGGTTGTAATTGGTTCGATGAAAAAGCAGCAGCTTTGCTTTCAATAATGACGACCACGGTACAAGGAGAGCAGGTATTCATTTCAGAAGATAATTAAAGGAGCTTGCAGCGTGATATATATTGCACAAGTAAATGAGACTCGTAGCGAAGGGAAGTCGAAACGGAATATAATAATGATGATAACAGTGGAAATGTTATAAGCTTCACTTTTCGCTGCAGAATCCGAAGCGAATATATATGTATATATAACATCGATGCGAAAGTTTCGCGCACTCGGGATTCTCCGCTGTCTCTCGAACTGTAAATATTAACCCTCTGAGAACAGACATTTTGATTTATCTGTACAGATAGTGCTCGGCCCCGTCCTGATTCTCGCCGTTCCATTTTTAACTCCGTTTTCTCATCGTGTAAATAAATGCAATCGACGGACTGCGGATTTTTATGCATTCGTGACGAAAAAAGGAGGCAATCGAAAACTTAACAGCGAAAACATCAAAACAATTCGAGGACACCTTTACATTCTATTTAACTCATTGAAATAATTAATGAACAAGATCGATGTCTACTTAGCTCCTGTAATTATTGCAAACAATCTTTATCGTTCGCAAAAATCCACGGTCTACTAATTGTGAAAGCAGAAAAGCCAGTTAAATTGTGAAATTGTCAACGTTTTATCCATCCTTTTGTGTCGCTAACCACCCTGTGAAAGCATCTTTTAATTAGCGAGCTCTTCATAAAAATTGTCGAGGCCTGATTTTTTAATTAGGGGATGAAAAATTAAGGGGATGAAATGATAATTGAAACTCTAGCGTCCGTGTGATCGTGGTATTATTACTCGCGTGATGAAATTATGTTTAACGGAGTGAAATTACAAAGCTTCTGTTTCCCCTTTGTTGCAGAAACTATTGGATTTGGAAACCGCAGCTGCCAGGAGAGCGAACGTCTTTATCTGGATGTGTCTGGTCCTTATGTCAGTGCAGTTCAGCGGTTTGGCCAGGCTAACGTGGTGGGAATATTCCTGGGACATAATGGAACCGGTCACGTACTTCGTCACCTACGGCACTACGATGGCTTGGTTCTGCTACTTCGTCTTAACCAAACAAGTCAGTGTGCTCCCCGTGCTTGGCTGCAAGCAAAGCATTGCAAAGCTCCAGCAAGAAAGAATCGAAAGAACCTGGTGATCGATTAAAAAAAAAAAAAATCCATTATCGTGCTCGAATCTTTGCTTTTATCTGCGATTGTTCATAACTGAAACTCATGAATCAATTGGATGTCGACAGTTTGGCCACGCTAGGAGCTAGAAACTAGATTGTTGAAATTGAATGTCATCGGTAGACTGCGATTCTTTGTGCGGAATAGAAACGTTTCTCGACGATTGCATATAAAACAGAAGCTAGATAAGAATGTATAGATAGCTCTTCTTCAACACGGCATTCTATAACACTGTTTTGCTCTAATACGATCAGAAAATTGCGAAAACCTTTGTACGACACTGTGTACCTCTACAGCACTGGATAACACGATTTCTGTTTAACATATATTTAAAAAAAAAAAACTAAATTAGCTTGAAATAACGACGGGATGGAATAACGAATTATATAGTGGCTTCACACATGAAAATATAATTATTATAATTAAGGGTAAATATATGTATATATAAATACCCTTCCGCTGAAAGAAGACAAAAATTCAAAAGGGAGCTGCAAAATTGTCTGTCTTCGTGCCATGAAATCTACAATGACCTTGTAAGAAGAAGAAGAATCTTGACATAATCTTGTAAGAACCAGCAAACGAATCAAAATTACGGATTTTTTAAAGAGGATAGAAGAGATGCAAAAAGATCTGAATGAAGAAGAGGGTTCAGAGAAAGCGAAGATGATATCGTTCGACCGAAAAAACGTTCTCCTTTGATTGTACTGAGTAGTGACGAGGAAGAAATTTATTGAATTAAGGTTACATTAAATGAAAATAATATTTTCTGTTTTTTTTTTCCTTTTACGTTTGGTGTTATACATACATTTATATTGTTTCATGAAAGTTAAGTTGCTTGTATGAAATTAGAACAAACTGTTTGTTTTTAATAAGTTCTCAGTACGTTAACCCCCTTTTTGTACTGATTCTGGCTCTCGTATATTTATAGAAGAGTTACCTGTATTTCTTCTTCCAATGATGTTAATACAGTGAAAGCGACGCGACGGTATTTTGTCTACGTTTCGTTCGTCCATTTTTACTGAAAATGCATAATATCTGCAGTCTAGTCGTCAAATTCAATTTCCAAAACACACAAAGAACAGTGCACAAGGGCTGAGCAATGATAGTCTGTGTGAAACGTATAAAATAGCAACGTGGAAATAACAAATTGATATCTCTTTACAGGAATACATGCTGCCGGACGTGTTGAACAGACGACACCTGATCGCGTTGCACAAGAGGGCCAGGAAAGTGGGCCTGGACATCGACCTCTACAACAGCCTGAAGAACAGAGCCTACGAGCTGGAGACCACCCTGAAGGTCATCCGCGGCCCCCTGTACGAGCACCAGGCGCGTCTGGATCAGCTGAAAAGGGAAGGGTCCCCGAGTAGATCCGGATCGTCGAGTTCCTCGCGTAGTCCTAGTCCTAGCCCTAGTCCCGAAAGGAGTCTTCCTAAGAAGGGCATCTTCCCAGCGAAAGATGCCAGCAAGAAACCGACGCTGAACGCGGCAGAGTTCGAGGCTGCCTGGCTGCGGAAGGAAACGAGGGATTGATCGCCGAGGATTTTAGATCGCTAGAACTCGGAATCAGGCTTTCGTTTGTTTCCCCCGACGAGGAAAACGCACACAGGGGTGTTCACCTAATCGGTTCACATCACGGTCGAACGATCGAGAGGGTAGGAGGATCGATCGCTTTCTGTTGCGCACGATGTAAAACACACAGGCAGTATCGTCGGCGGAGGTCTTCCAAGTCGTACGACGACACTCCTAATCAACGACTACATGTATAAATATATGTATCTGCCCAATGCTCAATGTTGTTGACTGCTCTGCGTTTGGAAGACGTCGGATCAAGATGTGTACATACCGCAGTTTTCTACACGCTGTCATTTACTACGCGACGGAAAGCCGGAAACGGATACGGTCGCACGAGACATTGGGGGGGAGGAGACGATGTTCCCTCGACGATGGCGACGAATGGTGTGGTTAATCAGACATCGAATTATCTTTGTTGACGCTAGGAATATTGCCTATCCGAGCTGAATAGTTGAAATTTATAGTCTACGTTGGTTAAGTATTCTTACGGCGGCGCGTCCTTCTCGATGGAACTGACTGGAACATCGCGTTTTACAACGTTCGAACCTGCTGCGGACCTTTGTGCGAGTTGTGCCACAAACGTATTTGTAAAACACTGGGACACGTTCGTGTCGGTCAAGATTTTTACTGTTTTTATTTTAAACTGACTTCGATGGAATATTCTTTAATATAGGAATATATTAAGGATTGAATATTATCTTATATATATAATATTCCTGGAATATTCTTGGATTATATTCCTATAATATCATATAATATATATAGATTATATACATATTATATTATATTATAGGAATATATTAAGGATGGAATATTATCTTATCTATAATATAATATAATATATATAGATTATATATATATTATATTATATTATCGAGGAAATTATAAATTATAAATCGA